GTCACTGCCCATTGACCAGGGACTGGGGTCACTGCCCATTGACCAGGGATTGGGGTTACTGCCCATTGATCAGGGAGGGAGTTACTGTCCCTGAATTAGGGGGTATGGTCACAGCCCATTGACCAGGGATTGGGGTCACTGCCCATTGACCAGGGAGGGAGTCACTGCTCATTGACTGCGGAGGCAGTCACTGCTCATTGACCTGGGATTGGGGTCACTGCCCATTGACCAGGGAGGGAGTCACTGTCCCTGAACTAGGGGGTACAGTCACAGCCCATTGACCATGGAAGGAGTCACTGCACATTGACCGGGGAGGGAGTCACTGCCCATTGACCAGGGAGTGGGATCACTGCCCATTGACTGTGGAGGGAGTCGCTGCCCATTGACCAGGGAGGGAGACACTGCCCATTGACCAGGGAGGGAGACACTGCCCATTGACTAGGGAGGGAGACACTGCCCATTGACTAGGGAGTGGGATCACTGCCCATTGATCGCAGAGGGAGTCACTGCCCATTGACTGGGGATTGGGGTCGCTGCCCATTGACCAGGAAATGGGGGTCAGTGTCCATTGACCAAGGAGTCAGGGAATCAATGCCCCTGAACTAAGGGATAGGGTCAATGCTAATACCAGGAAGTGGGGGAGTCAGTGCTCCTGATCCAGAGGGTGGGTCACTGCCCATTGACCAGGGATCGGGGGCGTTAGTGCCCATTGATCAGCGAATAGGGGTATCAGTGCCTATTGACCAAGGATGGGGTCACTGTCCATTGACCAGAGCATGGGTCAGTGCCCTTTGAACACGGAGAAGAATCAGTGCCATTAAGACTATAAGATATCAGAGCAGAATTAAACCATTCTGCCCATCAATAATGGCTGATATGTTTCTCAACCCCATCCTCCTGCCTTCTCTCCGCAATCCTTCATCTCCTTACTTATCATGAATCTATCTGTCTCTGTTTTAAATACACTCAATGTCTTGGCTTCTACAGCATTCTATGGCAATGAGTTCCAAAGATTCACCCTCTGACGGAGGAGTTTCCGCCTCATCTCAGTTCTAAAGGGTCATCCCTCCACTCTGAGGTTGTGCCCTCGGATTCTAGTCTCTCCTCCTGGTGGAAACACCTTCTTCATGTCCAGTCTATCCAGGCCTCTTAGTATTCTGTAAGTTTCAATGAGATGCCTTCTCATTCTCGTAAACTCCATTGGATAAATCGATCATGAAATGATCAGAGACCCACGTGCTAAAAGTTGTGTGTGTAGAGTGTGTTACCCATTTCAGTCTCAGTTTTTATAACACTTGCCTATCACACTTTCAGCATCATTTCTTTTCCAACAGTCCTGACCTATCACATGATAAAAACTGTGGCAAAGCTGTGAGTAATTAATCAAAAGTCTTCCATGTAATGCAGGCTGTCTGTAAGAATGCAATTCACATTAACATCCAGAGGACTATAGAACATGGTGAAGAATAGATGGATACAAGATGTAGAGAGATATCAAAAATGATTACAACTATACAAACTAGAAATGCATTAAACATACACAACAAATTTATATTGCATCTGTGATCTACAAAAACATCAAAAGGTGCTTCATGGGAGTATTAGTAAACACAATACAAAACTGAGTCAACTAATCAAATATTGGGTTAAATGAGCAAAAGCTAGGTTGAAAGGGATAGTTTTAAGAACTGTCATTAAAAATGGAAGCAAATTAGAGAAGCAAAGCAATTAATTGATTGATTGATTTTATTGTCACGTGTACCAAAATACAACGAAATCTGCAAAATCTAGGATGTACAACATTCCTGTACTGGAGGAGTACTGAAATCTCAGAGGGTCTGGGACAGCAGATGACAGAGATAGGGAGGGATGAGACCATGGAGGGATTTGAAAAAAAAATGAGAATTTTAAAATCACCACGTTGTTCAATAGAGACCTGGTATAAATCAGTGATGGCAGAGTTCGGGCTGAATGGACTGAGTTAAGTCATGTGCAGCAATGTTTTGAAAGACAGAAATTTTACAGAGGCTGGGACATAACAGTGCAATCAAATAGTCAAATCTGGAAGTAACAAAGGCAAGGTTTGGGATTTCAGCAGGAGAGTTGGGAGACGTTGTAGTACTGGAAGTTGACAGAAATGAAATACAGAAATATGTGTTAATATGTAATGGTGTCATAGTCAGCAGTCACTCGCTAATAAGAATGGGTGTCCACTTCAGAAATTCTGTTTCACTGCTCATGGGTTCTGTGGTTCCTTGTGTGGCTAACAAACCCTATCCTAGAGCCATCTTTCTGTCTGCACATTTAGCAGGTGTTTCCTGGAGGTGAACCTGGTTCTTGGCCTGGAGATCATTGGCATTCCATTCTCCCATTCCTTTTCCATATTTCTTCTTGACGACTGGTGTTCTCAAAGAATTGTGGCCCTTCATCCAGGAGCTTCGTCCAGGTCAGTTTCTTTTGAATGTGTGTCTCCCATGCATTGAAATCGATGTTGCATTTCTTGAGGGAAGCCTTCAGGGAGTCTTTGAAGCATTTCCTTTATCCCCCTTTCATTTGAGCACCTTCCTTAAGCTGGGTGAAGATGATTGATTTGGTAGTTGGAATTTAGGCATCCAAATACATGGATGGCCCAGCGGGGTTTGTTTCAGATGATCATGACCTCAATGCTGGCTCCTTTAAGGGCACTAATATTAATATGTCTGTGCTCCCTGCTGATGTGGGGAATCCATTTCCAACAGCATTGATGGTACTTCTCCAGGGGTTTGAGGTGGTGTCTTTATATTGTCCAAGTTTCAGAGCCCTATAGAAGGTCAGAAGGATGACTGTCTACTTTCATAATGATCTTGGTGTCAGCACAGATGTCATAGACATTGAAGACTCTCATCCTTAGGTATCCAAAGAGAGCAGTCACAGATAGGATGCATTGTTGAATTCCCACATCAATGTCAACCTTAGATGAGAGCTGGCTTCTCAGGCAGGAGAAATATTCCATGTTTGGGAGGAATTCTCCATTGATCTTAGTAGAGGGATGGACCAGAATTTGACCTGGGAAGAGTTGTTAAAGGATTTGAGTCTTATCAAGGTTGAGGTTGAGATCCAATTCCTCCATGTAATATGTAATGGTGTACATAACACATAGAAATACATCTAACACTGTTAAATGTTTGCCAGGGTTACTTAATGGTCAGGTTGTGCCCAATGCTGCAATCTCATTTATTCTAAGTGACCTTGGTGCCCATCAATAAACATTTGCCTTATTCTAATAGCTTTATACCCCTTCAAAACCGATTGTCCATCTGAGTGTGGTGACATCACACTAGGCTGCATTCAGCTTGTTATTGATACAAGTTTATACAGTGAGACAGGGAAACAAGAACGCTGAACGTAGTCTGCACTATACCAAATAAACAACAACACTCAGCCGTCAGATTGAATTGATGCAGTTTTTAATATTTATGTTCAAAATGCAGGAAATCATAGATTACGGAAACACATAATGAGACTGCAGGAACAGGTGTATGAGCTTTGATAGCACTAAGCACAAAGCTCAGATTAATAATTACTGAACGGCACAAAGTTTAAACTGAACAGGTTGTTCCCTATTGCACTCTATTGCTTTATGTTTGGACTTGCACTCCTTGATCCAGTGTTACAAATGCGTCTAAACAACCATTGTCATTTGGAAACTGAATGAGCAACTTCGCCCAAATTGTTGTGTGTTCTGTTGTTGGTGACGGTTTCAATGATTTATTTCACTCAGGTGAGGCAGGCAGCTTACAACTGACTGCATTGTAAATATCTGCACACACTTTCATCGAGATCAACCATTAGGACATAAACATAACATAGTGTGTTTCAGTGCAGTACAACAGTGCACCACAACAGTGCAGTGTGTAAATACAGAGTCAGTGTACTGTGACAGTGCATTGTGACAATGCAGCACATCAACGTAGCGTTTCAGTGAAATATGAAAATGTACTATCTCAGTGCAATGAAACAATGCAGTGTGTTAATACCATACAACAGTGTGAAGTGTAATCTGTTAGTCCAGAGAGACAATGCAGTGCAACTGGGGTGTGACAAGACAGTGTGTCAGAGCAGTGTGACAGGGTAGTGTGAACTGCACTGTGATAGTGACAATGAAGCACGTCATGTTGGTGTGACAATGCAGTGTGTCACTGTCGTGTGTTACTGTAATATAACAATGCAGTTTGACAGCATGTTATGTCAGAGCATCGTGACAGGAACACTGCAGTTCAGAGGAGGTTCACGAGATTAATTCTAGAGATGAGTGGTTTGTCTTATGAAGAGACGTTGAGCAGTTAAGGCCTATACTCTTTGGAATTTAGAAGAATGAAAGGAGATCTACTTAAGGTAACTAATATGCTAAAGGGGATTGACAAAGTAGACATACAGCGGATGTTTCCTCACGTGGGATAATCTAGAACGAGAGGTCACAGTTTTTGAATGAGGGGTAGTAGAATTTAAAACAGAGATGAAGAAAAATTACTTCTCTCAAAGGGTCATGAATCTGTAGGATTCACTCCTCTGGAATGCAGTGGATGCTGGGACATTGAGTAAATTTAAGGAAGAGGTAGAGAGATTATTAATTCCAAAACCTTAGAGATTATTAATTAGCAATGGGGTGAAGGGCTATGGAGAGCGGGCAGGAGAGTGGAGTTGAGGCTGAGATGAGATCAGCCATGATTGTATTAAATGGTGGAGCAGACTCGAGG